CTTTCTGGCAGTGGACATCCACCTAGACAACAATACTACACTCACCATAGTCTCTTATTACAAACATCCTCACCAACACATTTCCGAAACATTGTTTGATTATGTCTCCAGCCTGAATAAGGCAATCATACTCGTAAACTTTACCGCCAGGCATATACAATTTGGCGAAACGGCTACAAACCGTGCAGGCAATGACTTTTCGGATCTGCTCATTAACCTCCCTATCCACCGTATACGTAACCGTGAACCGACTTTTGTGGGTCACCAGGGCTTGTCGACGGTCGATCATATTGTGTGTATATATGATGTGATAGACCTTTTGGACGACGAACGCTTTCTGGGCGATTCTATTTCGTCGGATCACCTACCCCTGCTGGTTAAGGAACAGATATTTACACCTCTCCCTCCTGCACCCCCAAAAGTAATAAGAGACTATAAACACGCTAATTGGGACTGCTATAGAGCCTTCTTATCAGTTAATATTCCAGAGTTAGGCAATTGAACACATAAAAATGATATCGATCAAATTATCCCGGCTATCACTGAACTGATAAATCAAGCAATTGATTTATCAGTCCCTATTAAGGTTATGAACCCTCACAAGCCACCTCTACCTCAATATATCATTAATAATATCAAACATAAGAGACGACTCCCACGACAATTTCAACGCAACCGCAATCCATTCGTCAAAACATAATATAACCGCCTGTCCGCGGTCATCAAACTTCAGGTGAATAATCTGCAGACCAGACAATGGTTTGCGGCCACCTCTAGTCTTGATTATCGCAGCGGGTGGTAAGTTCTGGCATAAATTCAAATGCCTAACCAAACAGAAAACAAACAATCCTTCTCACCTTGTGGTGAATAATCAAATCATAAACACACATCAACAAAAGGCAGACGCCTTTAAAAATCATTTACAAAACACATTAATCTCACCTAATAATCCTAGATTTGACCTTGCTTTCCTTACTACGACCGAGAGAGACGTAACCAGACAACTCGGCGCCCCCTTCGATCCGCAGGCGCCTCAGGATCATCCCATCATGGCGCCTGTTGATCAACAAACTTTCAAGGATTTTTGTCAAATTGGCAAATCGAACGCACCGGGTCCTGACAATATTGCCAGGAGCTGCGTGAAACAATTACCGCCGAGTGCCTATCTCTATTTAACGAATATTGTCAATGCCACTCTTAACCTCTGCTACTTTCCATCACAGTGCCAATACAATTATGCTCCTGAAAAAGGGCAAAACCCGCACCGATCCTAATTCTTACCGGCCGATTTCACTCACAAATGGTTTAGCTAAAGTCTTTGAGAGAATCCTAAATGAAAGACTCATTGACTTTACCAACGAACACAACATCATTCCCTCATTTCAATTCGGCTTTAGAGAAGGGTGCTCCACAAATACGGCATTGACAGAAATCGTTACACATATAACTCAAAATCTGAACAACGGCAAAGTTTCACTAGGTATTTTTCTCGATGTTCAAAAAGCCTTCGACCAAGTTTGTCATGTAGGACTGGTCAAGAAACTACTGAACATCGGCCTACCACTTTCATTCGTCAGACTTATTCAATCTTATGTCTCTGAACATCGTATTAAGGTCAAAGAGCGAGGTTATTTCTCAGACACATTTACTCCTACAGCTGGAGTACCCCAGGGCTCTGTATTGGCTCCTATATTATACACTATACACAATAGCGACTTTCCTAATCCTAATTATACCAACACCACTACTTTGCTCTACGCAGATGACACCGCCCTAGTAACAACAGCGAGAGACATTGATGCTGTTCTCCGGTATGCTCAAATTCACTTTAGACTAGTCGATAACTGGTGCAGGAGATGACGAGTAACACCGAATCCGAACAAAACTGAAATGACTCTCTTTAGACATCCAAAACATAGCCAACGTGTTGCTCCTATTAACGAAAGAAACTATCTCACACTGTGAGGAGACCGACTTAAGCTCCGAGACCGGATCGAGTACCTTGGTGTGGTGTTTACTAAAACACTAAACTGGACGGCCGATCTGGACATAGCCTGTAATAAGGCTAGGAGCAGACTCGTGCTCCTTAATAGTTTGAGATGTAATTTCGGCGCAACACACCCTCGTACATTAATTCATACATACAAAACTTTTATAACACCGGCTTTCGAATATAGATCTAATATCTATATTACGATGCCAGCATATACTAAAGAAAAATTACTTAGACTAGAAAGGAAAATTCTGCGTAGAGTAAATGATAAACGCTGCGACTACCCTTCTGCCCTCATACATGAACTGTCGAATATCCAGAGAGACTACACTCTCTGAGCAGAAGTTATACTACACGCACAATCCGGGGCCAAAATCTCAGAGCCCAACGCACTCTAAAAACTGTCTGCTCATCCCTCGGCAATGTATTCACTAGACACCCTAAACCAAAAATCCCACACCTACCCGCTATTCTACTGGAACTCGCCAGTAACGAACTCCCTGATGAATACATTGACATACAGGAGGCAACTCCTCTCTACCACCGTCGCATTCCAAGCTAAATTGCTCACTTCGAGCTTGCCTATTGTTGAGGATACAGCCGCAGCTGCCCTCATCGCGTCGCGTATCACTTTTTAACACACTTACTAATTTAATATTAATGCATGTATTTATACATATTAATATCACTTCATATCACGCTTATTAATCAAATACTAATACTAACTAATTTCATTTTTAGACAAACAATTCTGAAAAGAACCGAACTACCGCCTTTTCGCCACTGATTGTAAAGGGTCAGCAACCACCAGTGGAACCAACAGAACAAAAGCAGCCAACCACCAACAAACAAAAACCACATCCTGAAGAGACAAATGGGCCTAAAACAGGATGCTTTCTGCTTTTTTGATTTTCTGTATTATAGCCTAATTTCTTTAACAGTTTTTTATGAACATTAAAATTCATGTTTTCTTCTTCATGTTGTTAATTTTTTCTTATTTTTACTATTTTTTGGTAAATATATTTGTATTATATTTAAATTATTTATTTTTAGTGTAAAAATGGGAGTAATAATAAACGAAATATTATGAGAATTGACCATTTATACACATTATACATTATAGTAGACGGTAATTAAAGCTGAAACCCGATGTTCTCTGTTCAGTGACCTCTAATAAAAGTATTTAATTTCAGTTCATAAGCATAATAGATATCCATTTAGCAGCAAATATATAGTAATGAGTCATATTAAATGTTTGACCCTTTGAATCATCTATAGTAAATAGCGCCAGAAAGTATTATCGTAAATGAAGTATTCTAATCTAATGATTAATATTTCCTACGTTAATCAAATAACGCGGTTCATTGTGGTTTTCACAAGTTGTTGATAGAAAATAACCTTTAAACCAATTTGTCTTCATCATTTACACAAACTCTATGGCGTTATGTAACTATTTTATAGGAAACCTTCAAATGGCTTTTAAAAAATTATTGATCTATTATCAGGTCTATGAAATTTTTTTAATTATTTAGGAAATGTTCTGAAACGAGTACGAGGTATAACCTCGTATTATACACATATACACTATAGTTCCTGGAAAATTAAATGCGGAGTTTTTAGGTTTACACCTTTGTCCGAACTCAATGAGGCACAATGACATTCAGATAAAACGAAGAGAACCAGATTTCAAAGCTCGACAGATATACTGGGTACCTATACAAGAAAAATTATAAGGCAAATTTGATTTATTGTTAATTTAATTTAATTTTATTATTACGTATTTCTGCTCTGGTAACAAGCTGAAGGGAGAAGGGACTTTATCAAAACAATGGGGGTTATCGTGGAACCACATGGTACAGTCACAGTTCAATACTATGTATATCAAGGCGTCCAACGATGTAATATACATACTAAGGATAGAACATGTTGATATTTTTATATGTATCTGATCAACTACGAAACTGACGTCACATTATAAGCTATACTAATGTCCGACGTGGGTTTGACAGGTGATTAGTGTAATGTTAAAAAGGTAACATTATATGCTAAGTTAATAATTTAATGTATTATTTTTAGTTAATTAATAAATTCGTTAAATTTTTAATATTTTGTATCCAGTCACTTCAGTGGCGTGCGATGGGCAATTACGTACCTGTAAAATATATATGTTTTATATGTTATAAAAATAATATTTTTTAATTTTATAATGTTACAAGTCATTATATCTTGTATTCAAATGTAAAAAACAACGATAATAAATAATTATTTATAAAAGATTTTTTTCGTAAAACACCGATATTCCGGAAACAAGAGTCGGTGATTGGTAGTAGCTACTTTGGACGAAAATATCTATTCATAGGTTCTATCTCCCAAGTCGTCTGAAAATTCCAAACTTCAAAAAAATTTTAAAAACACTTCTCTAATTTTTAGATCTTTAATCTAATTTTTCGATGCGGTTATGGTGGTATGGTGAACATAAAATAATAAGTAAACATTGATTTGTTGACTTCTGAAAATTAGATACGATCAAAGAGAAAAATTGCTCATTTTTATTAATCAGTATCAGCACATTTAACGAATGTTCCTTTTATGTTCCTATTCATGTCAAATATAAGTTCCTATCACTCTCCATTCCTCACTGCAAATGACTAATTTCATCACTCAAACGGAATCTTTAAACAGACTAATAGCTCACACGTGCTTAAGAGTACAATTAAAAATATTTCAGGAAAAAAAATTGTTACATAAATTACACTTCTTTTGGATTTGTATATTAAAGAAGAAAAATTACAAGTACATTAGCGGAATCAAATATTATTTTGCGCAATGTATTTCAAACAGTATTTCGTTCAAAAAGGTTTTGGTTGCAGCATTTGTTTGAATTTAATATCAACCGATAGCGGGCCATATAAAACTGTAATTAATTATATGAATAAAATTTCAATCCCAGTCACATTTACTAATCCTTACATATTTATTTACCAACTAATTCAAAAAATATACTTACAGCTCTTTTACTAAATTTTCTGTAAAAAAATTTGAATGCAAGGAGACAACAGAATTCACCCAGAAACATAGAACTTGCTTGAAAAAATGGGTGATTAAAGTTTTTTTCTTCGCCATCTCTGCCTTTTGATTTTAGTGTATCGGCCCATCTGGAATAAGAAGAATATATGGTTTTTTATTATATTGATTTAATTAGTGAAGAAGGTTTAATGATGAACAAGACATGAAAATCTGATTTTTTCAACCTAAGATTTAATAAATTATTGAATATCAGAACAAATTTAAAAATACTCAATCTCAACCATATAACATAATGGTTCATGACGTTAGAAGCATGTTATGCAAGAGTTCACTAAAATTATGACACTTTATCGAAACTATTTCTATTTTTAATTTGATCTCAATCTGGACACATACAGTGTTGAACATAGGCATCCCCTTTGCTATCTCATCTGAGGTCTCACATTTTTGTATATGTGTCTATGGTTTTCAATCAGTAGTAATCTTAATAGTACAAAATCCCACTGCAGGATTACTACGTTCATAACGTAGTTCATCAAAGTCACATTTTTACTTAAATTTAAAATTAGGAGAATATAGTGATAATAGGTTGCCAGTAAAAAAGTGGCCACAAATATTTATAATTCAATTAATAGTATTGACAAATATTTTATTTTGTTGATTTATTTTTAAAATAAATTAAGCTGCTCATGACGTATATGCATGTTTTTTATGTAAAGTTTAAGCTAATTTTATTCTTAATAAAATGATATGAGGTTGCCTGAGAAAAAATGGTCGTCAAGTAAGGTTACCAGCTGTTAAGACGTGAGGTATTAAAGATAAAGTAAAATAGAGGGCGCAACGACACTGGTTTAACAAATGATATGTATTGTTATGTTTCATTTTGTTAATCAAAGATAGAATAAAAATTTTATTTTGTAATAGAACGCGGGCACATAAAATTGCAACGCCCTGTACATCGCTTTTTTAATATTTGTTATAAGTTAGTTTTAAGCAGTGGGTTTATCCATAATGAGTTTTACCCTGAAGGACTGAAAAACATTAGTAAATACTTAAATGTGAATAGACAATTTGTTTCCCAATATTTGTAGATATTATATTTTAAAAGCCTTTGGTTTTGTTTCGCTGGAAAGGCCAAAGCCACCAGTTAGTTATTGTATTTAGAAAGTATAAGATAAAACCGTTATCATTTTCAAAGAAAGTTCTTTAGAAGCGATGTTTGGGTTTTTCTGATGTAAAATAAGAAGAAGGATATAGGCATTTTTGATTGCTTGGCGAGTTTGGAATGAGGATGAAAGAAAGTGAATGTTTTGAAAGTTTGGAGTAGAAAGGATTATTATGTGATGGTCGTCCGAAAGAAGCAGTTGAAGTTTTGTGTAGTCAGCTAAGAATCAAGTGCCAGTGGTGTTAATAATTAGAAGTGGGTGGCTGAAAGGTGGAACGAGAGATAGGTCAAAGTTGAGAAGTCGAATACCTTCTTCATTCTATAAAGTCCAAGTGAGTAAGTCACAAGAAATATAACTATTAAAAATATTTGCGACACCAAGTAAAAAAAATACTTGGGTCTCACGAGATTGTTAGTATACGAAAGAGAGGAGAGAAATTTGGAGTTTGTTGAACTAGTACTGGTAAAAAGGGCCTGCTCGTGTTTTTGGAGAAAGAGTTGCTGATAGGTTGATGCTTAGAACGGAGAAGGCTTTGATTGGTAGCCTAACATAATCAACAAGGGGGAGCTGTTCTGGTCGACAGGAGACATGGTCGTGTGTGAATTAAAAGTTCAGTCAATAAATTTGATGACAGAATTTTTTTTGTATGTTTCAAATAAAAGACTCTATACCACCAGAAGAACAAAAATTATCGCTATTTTAAAATACCATAAATTTTATAAAAGTTTTTTTTATAAAAAAAAATTAATTAAAGTTTTCTGATTCACATTGCAAATATCATAGAGTTTTTTTTAACGTCAAAGGATAATTATTAATATTCAGAATTTTTTTTTAGTACAAAAACATGTGAACAAAGATTCCAATATTTCAAAATTTTCATAGGAAGTGTAATTAATTTACGAATATCCAAATTTCTTGTTTATGTCGTTTTATCAATATTATAAATAAAAAACAAAACGATAAATATTTGGTGAATTAAAATTATTTATGTGGTACAATTTTCATTCAAAGAATTTATTTGATAAATTTTCATATTATTTCTTTTGGCAATAAAAGATATTTTTATTTGTTTATTTATGATATTTCTATCTATTTCCTTTTCTTATTTTATCCCTAGAAGGAACAACTAAGAGCTACTGGAAGCCACGAGAAATGATAAGTATAACCTAAGCTGATTTATTTTTTTTATAATAAAATGGCACCCTGACATTGTTTTTTTTTATGTATGATTTGCGACACTTAGAAAAGAAAATTAATTAAATAATTAATTAAAGTAATTAAATAAATATAAAGTTAATATAAAAGTAAGAAAAAGTAGATCATAGAAAAATGGCGAACTAACGTGTGGCATGAAAGTATCTCTAGTTGTGAATTTTAAAGGATAGGAAACGAAAAAACAGGCGATTGAAAATTTATTTGCCAGTCGGAAAAAGTTAATATATTTGGAAATTTATGAAATATTTTTTTGATTGATTTGAATTTTGACAATTTAAAAAAAAGTATGTGATAAATTTATTGTATTTGGGGAGAGTAAAATTTTCGTCTCCGCAGCATACAAGGTATTTTCGAATTTCTTATCAGGCGGGGATAAAATTCAACTACATGTCGATCACCAGAAGCAAAAGCAAAGAAAATTTAACAACAAAAATCATGGAAACGGAAAAACAGGACCTATCAGGTATAGAAAAATTGTTAAAAATTATGATGCAGAAAATGGATGAAAATCAGCAAGAAAATAACAGAAAAATGGATGAAAATCAGCGTGACACGAAACAGACAATAGAAGAAAATAACAGGCAAATGGAAAAGCGTCTAGACAAATATAAAAAGGAAGTAAATTTAGAAAATAAATTAGAAACAAAATTTCAAGAAGACAAGAAAGAGATAGAAAAAGTGTGCAGAAATAATGAAAAACTAATTGATGGTATCAGAAAACAACGAGAGATGGGAGACAGGAGAGAAATACTCATCCAAAGTTCCGGTGATATAAAAATATAGTTTGGCGGGGACGTAAAAAAGTTACACCCAGTAATATTGATAAATAATTTAAAAAAGAAAATACAATACATCGGTAACTTCAAAACAGCAAAAGAAACGATAAGGAATAATCTTAAAGATGAGGCGAGTTTATCGTTTGATAGCAAGAAAGAAGAATTTGACAATTGATATAAATTCGAACAAAACTTTTTGAGTTATTTCTGGGGGAAAATACAACAGCTAGAAATAAACAAAGAGTTGCAAAATGGGAGATACCATGATAGAATGGGTATTTCAGAAAAAAAACATACGCACTACAATTATACAACAATGCAAAACACCTGCAAAACAATTATTCTTCCGAACAGCTAGTAGAACTGATAGCCAGACATTTTAAAGAACATAACTTTACAAAACTACAAAGATATCGACAGTTTATACCAATTCCTACAAATACGAGAAGCAAAAATGATAGAAAGAAAAATAAGAAGATCGCAAGAAAATTATAGACAACGCAAAAATCAAGACTATAGAGATAGAGGACAAAACTTTAGGAGAGATCACACAAAAAGAGAATTTATTCTCAGAAGGGAAAACGAAAATAGAGACAACGGAAGAGGAAATTATAAACACAGAAATCGGCAATGGAACGAGGACAGATATCGAGAAAATCAGAATAGAAATAACACTCGCACATATTATCAAGAAAACAGAAAATTAATAGGTTAATTTAGCAAATTTAATTTACAAAATTCCCAGGGTAAATTTAGTGCAAATAAACGGACTTTGGCAACTATAAATGAAGGAATACGAATAAGGGTAAGATTGGGTAAAACATTGTATGCACTACAATGTGTCATAATGCCAAACATGTTGCATGATATGATCGTAGGAGTAAAACAAATTGGCAGAAAAACATGTGGTGATAGATTTCAAAAATAACACGATGAAAATCACAGAGGAAAACGAAGAAGAACGGGACATGTTGAAAAAGAACCAGGAACATGAGAAACGGAAAAATGATGACTTTAGACAAAGAACAAACGGTGGAAGTGAATTTGGTAACAAAGCAAGGGCAGAGAAAGAAAAAAAAAAGAAAAAAAAAGTTAAAAAAGGAAATAGGGGATTCCTCAAAAGAAGAGATGAGCCCAGAAGGAGAAGAAAAAGAAGAAAACAGTTTGATAAAAAAAAGGGATATAATTGAAACGGTGGTGTTTGAAGCAGAAGTATGCGAGATGGAGGAGGCAGAATTTACAATATCCACGATGTGTACAAATACCACGAATAAAGACCAATTTATAAAATAAATTATCTTAATAAAATATTAAGATAGGATAAAAGAGTTAGGTTAGGATAAAATGATAACAAGAGAAAATTTTTTGTTGTCGAGACGACTTATAAAAAAAATTTTGTATCTCAAAACGCCCTCAAAACTCAAATTTGCAACGCCCTGTACATCGATTTGTAAATATTTTTTATAAGTTAGTTTTAAGCAGTGGGTTTATCCAAAATTATTTTTACCCTGAAGGACTGAAAAACATTAGTAAATACTTAAATGTGAATAGACAATTTGTTTCCCGCCATTTATAGATATTATATTTTAAAATCAAGTTTATGTTTTATCAATGTTATAAAAAACAAACCGTATAATATTTGGTAAATTAAAATTATTTATGTACTACAATTATCATTGGGAAAGCCCATGGAATTTATTTGATACATTTTCATATTATTTCTTTTGACAATAAAAGATATTTGTATTTGTTTATTTATGTTATTTCTATTTATTTCCTTTTACTATTTTATCCCGAGAAGGAACAACTAAGAGATACTGGAAGCCACGAGAAAAGATAAGTATAATCTAAGCTGATTTATTTTTTTTTTATAATAAAATGGCACCCTGAGATTGTTTTTTTATGTATGATTTGCGACACTTACGGCCGGTTTCCGAAACGTTATTCAAATCTCCAATCATGTAATCAAGT